TTTGTGAGAGGGTCGAGGAGTGGTGCGCGGAGTGCGCCGTTCTGTTGGTGACAGAGACGGAGTGGGACGGCGTGTTTGTGTGCGGGAATGTCCACAGTGCCAGCCACTTTTTTGCCTCCATTGGTGGTGGTGTTTTTTTTTATCCGTAGGATGGGAAGCCCTCGTTTATCTTAAGTGTTTGATTTTAACGAGTTTAATTATTTGTTCTGACTTGCCACTAAGTGAGTTTGGCAAGCAGTGGAGTACTTGGTGGGTGGGGATGGGTCAATATAAGCTTATTGAGTGTGGGGTGAGAGCTAAGGAAAGGGTGCGTGCTCACGCATGCGCACGCACACCTGACATGCGGTCACACTTAAGAGACGGACACACTTGAGAGACAGACACACTTAAGAGACGGTCACACTTGAGAGACAACACACTTGAGAGACGGACACACTTGAGAGACGGTCACACTTGAGAGACAGACACACTTGAGAGACAGACACACTTGAGAGGCACGCCGTTGTTAGGCGAACTACCGGGGGGAATATTCTCCCATTCACGGGCTATTCATGCCCGTGCCACCTCATGTGTGTGGATTAATCTATATCAATCATCATTCCCTCATTCGAAGAGGTTGGAGGAGGGGTATACTCTCAGAGAGAGGCGAGGGGAGGCAGCGGGAATGCCCGAGGGAAGCCATCAGAGTCGGGCCGGCCCATCTCCCTCGATACACCACCCACTACAACCCTTTTGAATGACATTTCTTAAATGGCCTTAATCTGTCCCACCTTTCCCCCGCCCCCAACAATTTTCACGGTGGACTTGTTTCATGTTTCAGTGTATGGTAATCTGTCGCCATGTTGATGTTGTTATCATGTGGGTGTAGCTACATGTTGATGTTGTTGTCATGTGGGTGTAGCTACATGTTGATGTCATGTGGGGTACGCACTCAAAATCATTTGATGACCTTGAGGGTGTACCTCCAGTCTGGTAACGCTGCCCACTGTACTTAAGAGTGTGGTGGTGTTGTAAGGAACATCACTAACCCGGAGCTGGTGTCCCGCTGGTCTGGTGATACTGTTCACGAGAAAATATTTTTAAATGAAGTAAAATGAGTTGTCACATTTGATGGCAACACTGGATATAACACCACCCCCCTGGTGGCACCAGGTGAAGGCTGGTAGACCACACTACAGGCTGGTAGACCACACTACAGGCTGGTAGACCACACTACAGGCTGGTAGACCACACTACAGGCTGGTAGACCACACTACAGGCTGGTAGACCACACTACAGGCTGGGAGACCACACTACAGGCTGGTAGACCACACTACAGGCTGGGAGGCTACACTACAGGCTGGTAGACCACACTACAGGCTGGGAGGCTACACTACAGGCTGGTAGACCACACTACAGGCTGGGAGGCTACACTACAGGCTGGTAGACCACACTACAGGCTGGTAGACCACACTACAGGCTGGTAGACCACACCACAGGCTGGTAGACCACACTACAGGCTGGTAGACCACACTACAGGCTGGCAGACCACACCACAGGCTGGTAGACCACACCACAGGCTGGGAGACCACACCACAGGTTGGCAGACCACACCACAGGCTGGCAGACCACACCACAGGCTGGTAGACCACACCACAGCCTGGGAGACCACACCACAGGCTGGTAGACCACACCACAGGCTGGCAGACCACACCACAGGCTGGGAGACCACACCACAGGCTGGTAGACCACACCACAGGCTAGCAGACCACACCACAGGCTGGAAGACCACACCACAGGCTGGCAGACCACACCACAGGCTGGCAGACCACACCACAGGCTGGTAGACCACACTACAGGCTAGCAGACCACACCACAGGCTGGCAGACCACACCACAGGCTGGGAGACCACACCACAGGCTGGCAGACCACACCACAGGCTGGTAGACCACACCACAGGCTGGTAGACCACACCACAGGCTGGCTGACCACACCACAGGCTGGTAGACCACACTACAGGCTGGCAGACCACACCACAGGCTGGCAGACCACACCACAGGCTGGCAGACCACACCACAGGCTGGCAGACCACACCACAGGCTGGCAGACCACACCACAGGCTGGAAGGGTGTTACAATATGTGTTGACAGGTGGCGGGGCCTCGGTGGAGCGTGAAGGTGTACACAATGTAAACATCAGTATTTACACCGTGTAAACACCAGTGTGAACACAGAATAAACAAAAGATGTACACAGTGTCAACACAACCCATATGATGTTTGGTTAGTCGTGCCACCGCCGCTGGCCGCCACCTGGGGTGGTGGTGGTGCTGGTGAGGGGGGGGGGTGATGGTGATGGTGATGGTGGTGTAGGGGGTGGTGATGGTGATGGTGGTGGTGGTGGTGCTGGTGAGGGGGGGTGGTGGTGGTGATGATGGTGGTGAGGAGGGGGTGGTGGTGGTGAGGAGGGGGTGGTGATGGTGATGGTGGTGGTGGTGGTGCTGGTGGTAGTAGTGGTGATGGTGGTGGTGACGGAGGTGGTGGTGATGGTGGTGATGCTTGTGACGGTAGTGATAGTGGAGAGGATGGTGTTGGTGATGCTGGTGGTGGTGTGGTGGTGGTCACACAAAATGGAATGATGGAAATGACTGTCAACCTTACTATTGCTACTGGTAAAACTGGTAAAACCCCTAACGTTACTGTTACGGCTGGTGACAGTGTCGTATAACGAACACCTCCGGTGACGTCCCTTACTGTGACCAGGTGGTGGGGTGGTGTGACGACCTTCAGACATGGTAACAATGCCTCTGGTCGAATGTCTTACCACCAGGGTCAAGGGTGTGTATAGTCTTATGTCCCGTCTGGAGCCTCGTCTGGTGTGCTTGTGACAAACATGGTCGCTTCCTCACCTCCTCTCTCTTCACAACATTTAGCTTGTGATCAACTGCCAGCTTCTGGCTGCTCTATCAACGGTGTATATGTGCGTTCAGTGTGAGCGCGGAGGATGTAAAACACACACACACACACACACACACACACACACACACACACACACACACACATTTCGGGATCCAAGAGTCAATGCTCGATCCTGCAGACACAACTAGGTGAGTACACACACACGCACGCACACACACACACACACACACACACACACACGGTCATCGCATCATATTAGATATTACAATCAAAACATGAGATCTCTTTCTGAGAGTGCCGCTATCTTGGTTCAACAAGTCCTAATTTTTTCATTCATCCGTGTTCTAGGAGACTCGAGCAGGGGACCCCACGTGTGTGAGGCCGAAGCTTTATCGACGGAGCTATTCAGTAGCCCTAATAGGAAAGATTCCAGAAGCAACTACTGCTGCCAAACTGGAATTTTCGACCGTCCATGACTACTACTGAAGCTCAGAGGAATTAGCGAGCGATGCCCATGTGATATAAATTATCATCTACACTTCCGTAGAAATAAACATTTCATTTAAATATTCTGATCACAAATCGGTTCAAAAAGATGATTTTGTAGATATTCTTTCACTGTTTCAGAAAGTAGGTAGTAAGGTATAGGAGGGAGCAGAGGGCGTGGCTGTGGGGTGGTAGTGGTGGTGTCGTAGCTCATACGAAGGGGCCAGCAGGGCAGGTCTGTCTGCCTCCTCCAGCGCCAGAGAGTAGCAGTATTTACCCTCCTCCGAGTTTGGTACCTCAGGCTAAACACACACACACACACACACACACACACACACACACACACACACACACACACACACACACACACACACACACACACACACACACACACACACACACACGCTGATTCACAAGTCACGCCTTCAGGAACTGTGTTACGTGTTTGTTGTTCTCGCGTTCCTGCTGCTGCTATCGCCGTGTTAGTTTAAATTGGAGTTCCACAAATGCCACATCGTGAAGCGCGGAGTTGTCGCCCCAGCGGAGGCGCCTGCGGGCTCCACTACACACTCTCATATACATGGGTCCAGGCGCTCAACTTTCAGGTTTTGTCTACAACTTATTTCTGCATAATTGTATGATAATGATTAATATTACATTATTATTATTTACACACGTCAGTCCCTTTATTGAGGACTTGTAAGAAACCTGAGAAATAACCTGGTCAATTGGCGTCACCAGCCCTAGGCTTAGTTAGTCTTGAGAAATGTGGTTTTTTTTTGACTGCCAAGTTGACGAAACTGGAGCATAAGTTGTCATCTACACTTCACCTCTACAATATCTCTCACGTATTTGGTTACGGAGTTGAAGTCATATAACCTTTTGTCACACGTTTAATGAATAGATGAATTGCACATTTGGTAATATATGTGAAAATTTCATTTCATTTTATAGTTTTTTATTGGTTAAAAAATAGTTTGTGGAAAGCATATGCTAATCAAACTTCGAATCATTTCACTTCATTCTGAACTTTTAGTCTTTGGAAATGTCCGCCATTAGATTAACTTCAAGAATTTCCACGAATACAATGCAAGTTTGGTGTGTCACTCTGAGTTGCCACTCGCTAACATGTCAGCGCTGTGGAGAACACACACACACACTAAGTACAACATATTGACTCGTTTCTCTCACTTCTGTACAAAAGGCCTTTTATGTTACTGCATTTGTAAGATTTATCCCTCCAGTTATAGAGAGATATGAAGCACCTTGGTAGTAAGGAAAGTAGTGCCGGGCCCATGGGCGCTAGTACCATGCCCCTGGGCACTAGCGCTATGCCCATGGGCACCAGTGCCACCTGTCTTCCCGGCAGTGAGTCGCGCCACTCTCTCCTCGTCATCATCATCATCTTCAAACTTGGAGCCTTCTTGCAAGGAGTTCACGTAAAAGCAAGACAAGGAACCATCCAGGAACCATCTTAAAGGTGGGCATCACAGACACGAGGCAGGAACAAGCGGTCTTTCACACTAACAAGATCGGCAACGCCTACCACCCACTTCACTCTAGGAGCCGTCATTTTTTTTTGCTTTTTGCTTTAGTTTCCACACAATTCTTGGAAAGTTCACACGACATGAGGCACCACCTTGAACCCGTAGTCGTCCTCGGCTCCGGCAAATAACGCACAGCTGCTGGTCGTGGAAGAGCTTCCTTGCTTCTGATCCGGGAGGAATTCTTGTTGATAGTCCTTCTGGTATTCTTGCTGCAAGGAGGCCGAGAGACACCGACGGTGGTCGCGATCTCTGAAAATGGAGTAGAGGTTGTTACGTTGCTTTGGTTTATTGGTGGTGGGCTTGAGTCCCGCTGAGTCCTCTCCCTTTTGCTGCTGGACTGAGCTGCCCTGAGACTGGGGCGCCGCAGCTGGGAGTGAGGTCGTAAGATTGGGCTTCGTCAGTGGGTTTGAAGAGCTGCTTGTCGTAGACTTCAGTGGGGACACTGGCTTGTTCCCCGCCGACTGACAGGTTCTGTGTGGCTTTGGTGGCTTAGGAGGGGGAGTTGGTTTGGTGCGGCTCTGACTTGATTGTGACTGTGGTGATTGTTTAGGCGGAGACGGTGTCTGGGGGAGATCTGATTGTTTATCGAGTATCTGGCCGTGATGCACTGTCTGTTTGTATTGTGGTAGTTGAGTTTGTACTTCTGGCGGTAGGCGGCGCTGTGCGGGATAAGGTTGCCGGAGTCTTGAAGGTTGTCGGGAATATTGTGGCTGAGGTTGTGTCTGTGACTGAGGTTGTGTCTGAGGTTGTGTCTGTGGCTGAGGTTGTGTCTGGGGCTGAGGTTGTGTCTGGGACTGAGGTTGTGTCTTTGGCTCTGGAGTCTGCTGTGAATTAGCGCTC